TGTTTTGTTTGTTTGATATACAACAACACTTTCACCCCCACTTATATTTAGCATGTGTCGTCAACGTAGTGTGACGTGCATAGGGATGATAACGGAACTATGCGGGGAGGGGTGGGGCGGGGTTAGAGCAATCTTCCTCTCTCCCTGCCTCACCAGGCAATTCCCTGCCCCGTACCAGTCTCGTTACCCATTTAAAGCGGGTCGGGTCCTTACCCCGTTTACTAATCCATTTAATTATTTTTTTTTTAATTTTTGATAATTCATTTTGTTGCCCACATTCATTAGATTAAGACAATAATAAATTTTTTAATGCTTTTATTGTTTGTCATATTTTCTAAATTAAATCCACAGAACCGTGACTAAACATATTTGATAAATTAAAGCTTTTATTGTTTTTCATATTTTTTAGATAATTTTAATTGCCATTTTTTATTAGAACTAATGAAATTTTGTGAAATTTTTCATTTAAAGTATTGAATTCTAATTTTTTTAAAAAAATATTAAACGAGATGGTGCGAGGCGAGGCGAGGAGGCGCGGGGCGAGGCTGAGTGGGGTGCCTATTACCCGCCCTCGTCCCGAATACCTGATTAAGCTGGTAATCTCCGGCCCGAATCCCGCAGGTATCGGGTTTGTTAGATTTTTTTGTCATTTCTAAACGAGCAAAGCAGTATTGGGGAATAAATCTTATTAGTTTTCGAATAATAATTACATATGACTAAAAATATGCAGAAAAATTACATTTGTGTATCTTTTTGTTGCTGGTTACATAATTGAAAATGATTCGAAAAGTCCATTTGTCTACTTAGGATACTGGAAATTATTTGTGCTTCAAATGGAAGAATTTGACAAAACACTTATTTTCACGCCAACTTTTTATGAAGGGTTGGAAAAATCTATCAAATCTTGAAGAATTTGAGGACAAATAATTAGAGTGTGTTTGGTAAGGATTTTTGGGGGAAGAATTGATTTTTGAATAGTGATATGATGGGAAATGTGTTGTTGAAAAATAAGAAAAAAGTATTGATGTGATGGAAAATATTATTTTGTTGAAGAATGTGTGGTTGAAAATGAGAATTGATTTAATGTAGAAAATGAGAATTTGTACCAAACATGCTCTTAATGTTGTTCACATTCAAACGCTTCAAGAGTCAAACTGTCTGCTAATATTTCCATTTTAATGGTGTTAGGCCTTTGTCATGTTTTTTAAATTAAACATCTGAGCCACATTGGAATTTTCATTCTCATTACTTTATTCATTTTTAACCATACATTTTTCAATAAAAATATATTTTTCATCACATTAATAACCTGTCATTCTTTTTCAACCATTCATTCTCCAACAATCCAGTATTCCAAAATACATTTTTTCTAAAATAATGTGGCTCAAACAGACCTTAAAATGAGATTTTGAAATTCAAAAGCAGCTTTTAGATCTTTTTTTTTTCAAGAATATGCTTCGATGAATGATAATTCTATTTTAGTACTGCGTATTAAAAAAATCAGACTGTGTATATGTTCTTTTTTGGTATAATTATCACCATTACTTTCGAAGATTTAACATTTGTCACACAATAATAATGATAAATTACGGTAAAAGTTTGTAAAATAATACGAACATTGTGATAGAAGCATTGGCTGACACAAATATTTTGAGTTTGGGGGCACAATTAAATTTACAAAAAAGTAATGAAAAACATAAATCATTTCAAATCAATTTGACATGGAGAAAATAAAATGTAAATGTCATTCAAATCAATTTACTCTATCACTTTGAATTTTGGTCAAAGAAAAAAAAATTGAAATTATAAGTTGTTGTCGCCAATCTATGGGGATGGCAACAGAGCGGGGCGGGACATGACCCCCGCCCCGCTAAGAAATTCCCCGTCCTGTTCCGTCCCGTTCCCACCCCGTTACCTGTTCAAGGCTGTACGGGGCAGGGCCTTTCCCCGTTTACTCTTCGTTTAAATTTTTTTTTTTTTAGTTTTTGATAATTTATTTCTATTATCCATATTTATTAAATTTAGACAAATAAATTTAGTTGCTATTTTCTATTAGAACTAATGAAAATTTTCATTTAACGGGGCGGGATCCGCACCGGGGCAAAATTTCCTGTCCCGTTACCCGTTTAAGTGGGTTATTCCTGCCCCATTCGAGGTAGGGCTCCGAGAATATCGGGTTTGTTGGATTATTTTGCCATCCCTACCAATCTAGTGGTTACTTTTCAATTTTCAATTTGAACTATGACACAGATCAAAATTTTGGTATGTTTTATAGGTTTGCAGGCAACCCACTAGCTCCTGACAAAATCTTTGTTTGTTTGGATGAAAAGAATTTAATGGAATACATGAGAATAAAAACCAAAGAGAAAACTCACCTAGATTATCTTGAATTTTCTGTGAATCCAATGTTTTGAACGATAGGTAATTTGCATTAGACAATAATATTAAACAAATGTAGGCATATGCCGAGCATCACAGCCGTCGATGAAGATTTTAAAAACGTATGTATTAAGTTAAATGGGACTTGATATGATAGTTGACAAGTTTATATTTGTGTAAAGAATAAAAGTTAGCCCCTGTTTGATCCACATTATTTTTTTCATTCTCATTTTTCTACTCTTTTTCAACCACACATTCTTCAATAAAATAATATTTTACATCACATTAATAACTTTTCTTTTTTTTTTTCAACCACATATTTCCCATCACATCATTTCAAAAAAATGCATTATCTCATTTTAATTTGCACCAAACGGGCTCTTAATTAACAATTGGATCTCTCAAAAAAGAGGTGTCAACTTACATTTTGAACAATTTATTGAATAATTTTTAGGCTTATTCTCCATTTCTTCTTAAGAATGTACAATTTTCAAAGGCCAAAATAAAAGAAAGATCCAAAAGTAAAAAAACTGGTGGGTCACGTGACCCATCAGGCACCACCCCAATTCCGCCCATGTGCAGAACCAACTTTCGTCAAATTTATATCACATCGAGAAAAAGCTATCTATAAGACCATTAAATTGATAGTATGACATGCAAATAGGGACGGATTCAGGATCAGATTACAGGTCGGACTAATACGTAAAAAAAAAAAATTACATCTACTAAAAAAATTCAATGGGGTGGAATAATTACGTATGGCTAAAAATATGCAGAAAAAAATTACATTTGTGTATCTTTTTGTCGCTTGTTACATAGGGTGTGTTTGACACCAATTTTTTGAAGATAAAAATTTTTGGAGTAGTGATTGATGGGAGAATATGTGGTGAAAAAGTTATGAAAAATTTTAGATTTGTGTGTAATATTATTTTATTGGAAAAATGTGTGGTTGAAATGAGGTAAGAGAAAAAAATGAGAATGAGATAGAGAATGTGTGACAAACACGGGCATAATTGAAGATGATTCGAGAAATCTGTTTTTCTAATTAGGATACTGGAAATTATCTGTGCTTCAAATGGAAGAATTTGACAAAACACTTGTATTTTCGCACCGACAAACTTATGAAGGGTTGAAAAATCTATCAAATCTTGGAGAATTTGAGGACAAATAGTTAATGTTGTTCACATGCAAATGCTTCAAGAGTCAAACTGCCTGCTAATATTTCCATTTTAATGGTGTTAGGTTCCTTTGTCATGTTTTTGTAAAAGTTAAAATGAGATTTTGAAATTCAAAAATCTATTTGGCTAATTTTACTAAAGTGTTATTTTTAGAAGAATTTTTAGAGAAAACTGATCCACTTTTTTTAAAATACTTTAGGAATAGGAAGATGTTCTAAAAATTAATTTAAAAGAAAAAAAATTTAAAATAAATTTATCTAAAAGCTCTTTTACGAAAGGTAAAAGTAAAACCAAAAATCATACCAAATGGATCCTTACAATATTTGTATAGTATTTTTGTCCAAAGGTCCCACTACCTACAATTACCCGGTGTCTGGATTAGTGAGTGCAAATTCAAATCTGGAACTACACCACAAATTTTAAAACATGATTACCAAGCCCCTGTTTGGCTCACATTATTTTTTTCATTCTCGTTTTTTTACTCATTTTCAACCACACATTCTTCAATAAAATAATATTTTCCATCACATCAATAACTTTTCCTTCTTTTTCAACCACATATTATCCATACATCACTTCAAAAAAAATGCATTCTTTAATTTTAATGTGTACCAAACGGGCTCGGTTTGGGTTTGTGGTTAAAGACAAACCATAATTTTAATTACTATTAATCACTTATTTTTAGATGGGGGCCTTCTTACATGATTTTCTTTAAAAGTACTTTTAGAATAAAAATTATTTTCAAACAAAAATTAAAATAGTTTTCTCCAAAAACTCTTCTATAGAGAACAAAAACAAAAACAAAAACAAAAACAAAAATAATGTCAAACGAATCGTTACGGTATTTGTAGTACTTTTCTCCAAAGGTGCCCCTACCACTACCATTACCACTGTATAGAATAGTGAGCGCTTAGTGAGTGCAAAGAGACCAAAAATTCAAATCTGGAACTACACCACAAATTTTAAAACATGATTACTGGTTTGTGTTTGAGGTTAAAGACATACCTTAATTTTAATTAATATTCTTCACTTATTTTTATCAAATTATAATTTCAACAAATAAGCACTTAATCTCTATTTACAACTGCAGTAATAATCTGACAAGTAATCATAAAATGAGGAAAGCTTAGCCTCTGCTTGGGTTAGAAACTTATAATTTACATTTAAAACTCATACTAATTATAATATTAGTCTCTGCCAGAAAAAAGGTTACTCAAATAAACAATGGTTTAGCCTCATCTGATAGAAATTTTAATTAATCACATGTTTCTTTAATTTTTATTAAAATTTGCTAATCTCTCTTCAATTTTCAGCTTGGCACTTTCCAAGAATTCTGTCTAGAGAAGTGTTTCACTACTCCTCTCTGTTTCCCTCTTGCATCTACTCACTGTAAATCTTTGCTTTCCTTTAGTCCGTCTTCAAGCACCCACAAATTATACAGCAATGGATATCAAATGTCTCCATTTTCTCTCTCTATATCTAAATCTAACTCTTTCTCTCTTCTTTATCTCAAGAGCTGCTTTTACACCCCAAGATAATTACCTCGTGAACTGTGGATCAAGTACAAGTAATATTGCAATTGATAACCGAATTTTTTATGGGGATTCATCAAAGAATGGCACAAATTATTTGTCGAAAGGTAAATCAACTTCTCTCACAAATCCAAACCCAACTTCCAATTATTCTGTACTTTACACGACAGCTAGAGTTTTCACTTCTGCTTCAAGCTATGTGTTCCACATCAAGAAAACTGGGACCCATTTTGTACGTCTCCATTTTTCTCCATTCAGTTCTCAGAATTATGATCTCAAGAATGCAAATTTTGGGGTTTCAGCAAATGGGTTTACTCTTTTGGGTGATTTTGTGACTAAATTTACGATCATTAAGGAGTTTATTTTGATGGTAGATAAATTAGAGCTTGAAATTCTGTTCATGCCTGTTAATGATTCCAGTTTTGCATTTGTGAATGGAATTGAAGTGTTATCTGCATCCAAAGATTTCCTTATTGATGCTGGTGAGATAGCATTGATTAGCCCTAGTGGAACTCGAGAATTCAAGCAGAATATTTCTTTGCAAATTTTAGAAACTGTTCATAGGATTAATGTTGGAGGATCAAAAATAACCCCTTTTAATGACACCCTTTGGAGAAGTTGGGTTCCGGATGAAGATTTTCTTGTGTTGAAATCTGCAGCTAAGTTTGCAAGGACTAGTGATCCACCCAATTACCAACGGGGTGGGGCAACTCGAGAAATCGCCCCGGATAATGTATACATGACTGCACAGCAAATGAATGTTGAAAATGGAACTTTGAATTTTATGTTCAATGTGACGTGGGATTTCCCGGTGAGATCTTCTGTGGATGATATGCATTTTGTTCGATTGCATTTCTGCGATATTGTTAGTGTTTCTCTTAACACATTGTACTTCAATGTATATATCAATGGGATCACTGCGTATAAAGATCTTGATTTGTCTTCGCTTGCATTTCACCTGCTTGCATCACCTTATTATATTGATTTTGTAGTGAAAAGTGCAGATAATTCGAACTTTATTCGGATTAGTATTGGTCCTTCTCAAATGAGTAATTCTTTGAGGAAGAATGCTATTTTGAATGGGGTTGAGATCATGAAAATAGTTAGTTCTGCACCTCCTCCTAGGAAATCTAAGAAGAATAGTTTTTGGATATTGGTAGGTTCAGTTGTTGGAGGGATTTTTGCATTGAGTTTAGCCATTCTTGCAGTTTTAGCTATGCTGAAATGCAAAAAGAGAAAACCTATACCAAAACCAAGACATATGGAAAGTGCGGGTTGGACTCCGTTGCGTGTGTATGGAGTCAGCACCCACGGCACATTATCTGAAGCAACTGCCTTTTCTCCTAGTGCAAATGGATATTACGCTTTAAAGATTCCATTCACTGATATACAGTTGGCAACAAATAACTTCGACAAGGATTTGATAATTGGCTCGGGTGGATTTGGCACGGTCTACAAAGGGGTTTTTCGAGATAATGCAAAGGTTGCTGTGAAACGAGGTATACCAGGATCCAGACAGGGACTCCCCGAATTCCAAACTGAAATAACTGTTTTGTCAAAAATTCGCCATCGACATCTCGTTTCATTTGTTGGCTATTGTGAAGAGCAATCTGAAATGATACTTGTCTATGAATACATGGAGAAGGGGACTCTGAGGAGTCATTTGTATGGTTCGGCAGTAACACCTTTGTCTTGGAAGCAAAGGCTCGAAATATGTATTGGTGCTGCTAGAGGTATTCACTATCTTCATACGGGTTCTGCACGAGGAATCATCCATCGGGATATAAAGTCGACTAACATTTTGCTTGATGAAAACTATGTCGCTAAGGTTGCGGATTTTGGTCTTTCAAGGTCTGGCCCGTGTCTTAACGAGACTCATGTAAGCACAGCTCTTAAAGGAAGTTTCGGATACATTGATCCAGAATATTTTCGGAGGCAGCAGCTTACCGACAAATCCGATGTTTATTCATTTGGGGTTGTGCTTTGTGAAGTTCTATGTGCTAGATCTGCTGTCGATCCATTGCTTGACCGTGAGCAGGTGAATTTGGCCGAATGGGCTATGGAATGGCTAAAAAAGGGGATGATTGAGCAAATTGTTGATCCTCATCTAAGAGGTCAGATAAAACCTGGTTCTTTGCAAAAATTCGTTGAAACTGCTGAAAAATGTTTGGCTGAATATGGTGTTGATAGGCCAAGTATGGGTGATGTCCTGTGGAATTTGGAAAATGCTCTTCAGATTCAAGTAAATGAAAGGCCGCAAGAACTTCATGAGGAAACAATTGTTGCTTCTGATGATCTCACGATGCATAGAGTCATTCCAGGAGCTCCCTCGAGTAGCACCAAGGTTGGAGGGGACGGCAATGATGGCGCTTCAGATATAACCACGAGCCGAGTTTTTTCCCAGTTAATAAACAGAGAAGGTAGATAGATCAAGAATCATACAGCAGAAGAAACAGTCTCCACTATAATCAAAACTCTGCCTGGCAAACTTGTTGAGGTATTAACTACTTATAATTTTCTCCGTACATATTGAAGTTTTCTTACTACTATAATTTTGCTTCTAAGTTGCTTGCTCTTATAGTCCCGGGCTGTTATTATTCGTTTGACGCGTTTTGCTACAATTGACAAGATATAGAATGTATAAGTTTAAAACAAAATTTCTTGTTGTACTACTTAAAATTATAATCATGTTACATGTACATCAAGTTTGACAATTTCTTTGACATAATGTGAGTTGGCAAATTTTTATACATTGATTTTAACAATACTTTTCCAATCAATGGCCAGGACTTCTACACATAGGCGGACCATCAAAAAAGCTGTCATCCGGCAGTGTACAAAAGGCATAATTGCTTAAAATTAAGCATTTCTTTCTATTGTACTGTATATATTTGCTGTATACGGTATACCTCAGTGGTTCAATATTTTAGGAATGTTGAAATCTCTCTGAAAATGCGTCATTTCCCTTTGTTTTCTTCTAGCTTGGAGGCAACCGTGGCTCGCTTTATTGACACGTGAGACTAGGATTGAACAACGAAACAGTCAATCCATAAAATCGAATCGAATCGAATCGTTGGTTTGAGTCCACATGGATCCGTCAACGTTTTGGTTTTGAACCAAGCGGTTTGGTTTGGATTTTAATCTTTGCAAATCGTTTACAAAAAAAAATTGAAAATAAATTAATTTAAATTTATTTCAACCCAATAAAAACTAAACACATCCTAGTTAAAACTAAATCATATAATGATTCATCAATATTTGGATGAGATAGAAGCATTGGATGATTCACAAAAAAGTTAATAGAATTTATTATCGTATTCATTTTCTTTTATTTGTTATTTTATATCATTTAATTATAATCAATAAATTGATGTACTGCATTCTTATCTTTGTGAATAGAATGAATCATGTGTTATAATTGCATATATTGTGCCAATTAGTATCGACTAAAAGGTTAAAATGTTTCTATCATGTTGTTATATTATAATGTTACTATTTATGTTTGAACGTAAAATTTTAGACTAATATTTATGATTTAACGTATTTCATATATGTTATTTCTTCTTTGTTAAACAGTGGCTCTAAACTGAACCAAACCGAAAAATTGGTTTGGTTTTGAATTTCTTCAAATCGTTTTAAGTGATTTGGTTTGAAATTTATCACAAACCATCGAAATTGAACCGTATTTACTCTTACGTGGGACTATCTAAGAGAACTTGGACTGAGTTTGGCACTTTGACTGAGGCGCTGAGGAGGCATGGAGGCCGAAAACCTTTGTGTAGGACGGATTTGCTTTTCCTTTCATTTTAAGAATTGCTTATTTATTTAATTAGAACTTATAATCAGAGGCATTTGTAGGTAGCAAGTTTCTTAAAGTTGAGTAGTGTTAAAAACAAGATTAGTGTTTCAATGTTCATTGGCTGAGTTTGAATATTCAATAAAATTTAGGAATTTTTTTCTCAATCTTTATAATTCGTTAGGTAACGTGGTGAACCTACGAATTCTAAGTTCTCGAGGATTCGCAAAATTAACAAAATTTTGAATGTGTTTGATTGTGCATATTCCTTTCTGAAAAATTAATAATAGCCGAACGCAATGTTTAGACCCAACAATATCTAGAGGGGATGGTGCGGAATCAATAGAAAGCAATAAGTCACTTATTTATTGTTTTTAGATTATTAAGTTTAATGTCAAATTAAATCCTAATTGTCAATCACACAATATAGATCAAAAGTAATAACGTAAAGAACACCAAATTTGATAACGAATGAAAACCGATTGAAGAACTCTTCATAGGGATTAAAGACTTGTGGGCAGGCTTTGCCAGAGATCCATTAGAAAAAAATAACTTACAGTTAGTCTAGACATAATTAAACATTAGTATAATCTAACTACCCAACTTGTAAATCATCGAAAAATATCTTCGATTGTGCAACCTGCACTTTTCAAAATTCTAAACTTCGTTTCCCTCAGTGTGGATCAGCAAGAATGAATTCGTTCTGGAACAACTGGACTCAAGCCTATCTTTTTCCATATTCAGAACTTTGAAGGCTTATTAGTGAAGGTAAATATTTTTGGTATTTGATCTTTAGATCTTTTGTATTTTGATCATGTGATTGAATCGAAAGAATTGTCGAATTGATGTTTGATCTTAGTAGATGTTCTCTTAAATCAATAATAGATCAACCAAAGTAATAGAGATAGTTTGGGACGAATTATGACTTGGGTATTTATAATATGAAGTGTTTGAGGTTGTATAGGATTGTAAAATTTGTTTAAGATTTTGAACTGGGGTTGGCCATATAAATACACTGCTCAAGCGGACTCCCTCACAGCTAGCGATAATTCAACCGCTCGAATGCTAGGGTCTCGCCTGCGAGCATTTGTACTTCTGCTTTTTACGTTCGAGCAAGCAGAAGGCAGTCAATAAGTGATTTTGTAGCGATTTCTTCTCCTTGTCTATCTTTAAGATCTTTGACTCTTTCAAAACCTACACTACCAACATCGACTCTTTTATTTTAATTACAACTCAATAACACATGATTTTGGACATGGAACTTGCCAATTACAATTGAACCTAACAAACTCCCCCTTTGACATTCAGTGACAAAATCATTTATTTCAAAATTAAAATCAACACAACCTAACACTATTAACCCAAATACTTAGCCTTTGTTTAATCCTCATTTTTTAAAAAATATATATATTTATCTATCTTCTTTTCAACTACATATTTCTCAATAAAATAATATTTCACGCAGCACAAAAAAATTTCATTCATTTTTAACCACAAATTCTCTATCAATATACTATTTCAAAATGCATTCTACACTAAAAATGGGGCTCAAGTAAGCCCTTAGTTCCCAAACTTCTACTCAACGGCTTGTCATGCATATTTCCTAGAACACATGAAATTAACAATATTATGTGTAAAAGCAATAGGAAACAACAATTAAGCATATAACTAAGTTATATAAATAACGTTAGAACATGTGTCACCAAAAGATATAATACTACGTGCATCAATAATTTAGAAATTAAACATGACAAGTCAAGATATAATATTAGAATAGCTGAACAAGCAATACAAATTATGATATCGATATTATACAAAACACTCAACATATTATCAATAAGCTTAAATAACACATTATGCTAGTCGATCATCAATCATAAAAAATTATGACTCCCCCTAAATCAAATGTAAAAAACAATATAGCAACTTCTCCCTCTAACTCATATGCTCAACTTTCTTGAAATACATACTTATCTCTCCCCCTTTTGTCACGAATCAAATAGGGAAACAAGTAATGTAATCATGAATAACAAATGAAGTGATGAGTGAAAAATGTTTTCTATATGGATACGTTATGCAAAATTATGTAAAACATGTGATGGGAAAATTT